CGAAATGTCATGATCAACATAATTAAAGACGTTACTAAAGTCTAAAAGGACAAGAAGAGTAAGTTAGCGTTATCCATCGCAAAGCAGATATCGTCAGTTATTTTAATTAGGGCCGTGGAAGTACTATGCACTGGTCGAAACCAGACTGAAAAGGATTAAAGAGATTTTTAGAAATTTTGTAAGTAGGCCATGAACAACCTTTTCAAGAATTTTGAAAATAAAGGAGGGACAGGAATTAGGAACGCTTCTTTCCAATTGGTAGGGAAGATACTAGAGGCAATAGAAAAAAAAATTGGATGTGTGATATGTGTCTTAGGTCCAAAATCGGCATAATCATGTTACGTCCAATGCCATCTGGGCCGACAGCTTTACTGGATATGACGGATATAATTTTTTCAACTTCACCATCAGTCACTGGTTCAAAACAGAAAGGTTAGTCCAACACGGTAAAGGGAAGGAAGTAATATCTTTAATGGCATCGCTTTTGACTGTTTGAGTTAACTGGCAAAAAGCAAAAGTGTTTCTTGAGGGCATTTCGTATTAAATCTTTCCCAGTTCTCATCATTGGGCGAGTGATTGTTTTCTTTTTAGGCGGTCCCTAGTTGCCATAAGAGATCGAGTATACGGCGTTAACAGGTACAGGTGCGATGGCGTGACGACCACGGCAAATTCTCCTTACATCAGAAAAGGCCAACCCACCAAGCAGTGGATTTTTACGAGCTGATGATAATGATGATGATTGCTATATTGAAACTATCATTGAAGTACGATCACATATAATATCAAGTTAGGATAATGATTTGTCTATCGCGTATATTCATTTTATAGTAATATAATATAAATAATTTAATTTAAACTTAGAAAATAAATAAGCATTATAAAAATAACACTCACTAACGCTAATTAGCGCAAATTTTATTAGAAGGCGATTCTTAAATAAGTAATTTCTCAAAGTAAGTTTATTTAAATACAGGCGCCTAAAATAAATCCACTTAAATACTAAATATTTAGTAAAATAATATTTTTTATATTCCAATTAAAAATATTATTTATGAAATTTTTATTTATTTAAGTGTATATTTTAATAATTTCTTGTTTTTATATAAACCATTGACGTTAATTTGATCATTGACTTACATTATATTATAAATTGCGTATTTGGTACTCTAGTCTATTGAAGTACTTTTTAAGGGGTATATAAATATTTTTTTTTATAAAAATTGTATGAGAATACAGTAAATGTCTTTATACGTGGAGCCACTCTGCAGTTATATTGTGGTTGTAAAACGAATGGGTTGACTCGGCCGGGGAAGGACCATGCTCTCACAGAATACCAGCCTAAAATAGCTGTTTAAAAGGATTGTGAAGCTGTAAATTTTCATACAAAAAGCGATAACGTTTTCCACCCCGTAAATAAGTAGTCTAATATTCATAGTTTTTGGAAATGTTAAAGATTTTTTTATTTTAAAGAAATATTGCGTACGATGTAAGTTATTAACATCTAAATATCTATATTTTTAACTTAAAAACTCCCTTCAGCGTTTTTTTTTTTTAATTAAAGTCAATTGAATTACTAAAAAAAGAAAAACGTAAAGACCTATGTTTTGTTGTACTGAATCTAATGAGATCAAAATTGTCTCATTTCGTAAAGTTTTAGGTTTAGGAATGTGAAAACGTTATCGCCCGAAACAATATTTCAAAAAGGAAATACAGGCAATTGCTTCAAAGACTTGCAACTCTCTCTATCGCAGATACGGCGATACGGAGTGAGCGGTATGGAACAGATATCATTTTTGAAAATAGGTACCTACTAGCGCCGCGTATCGGCACTTCATAATCCTCTTAACGCTGCTGTATTACTGGGAACGCATTCCATCTTAGTCCTCAGAGGTGCTAACGTATCTGCATTTTTATTCTTGACCAACGATAAAATGTAGATGTGTATGGGTCACAGCATCCATTTACCATCTGGTAGACCGTGTGCTCGTTTATCACCCTTACTCAATAATAACAAATGTAGTGTAATGACGTCATAGTTTTTGAAGTCAAGTCTTTTCTAAAGATCTAAAATAAAAAATCTAAAATAGAAAATTGACCAAGTTTTAAGACACTAATAAATGTAGCAAATTAAGCTAAACAATTATATTGTAATACCAATACTAACTGTTACACGCCAACTTCGCTGAACGTGAATGAAACATTTAAAACAATCATTAGTACGATTGTTATTAAAATAAGTATTCTATGTCCCTTATTCGACATAATCAACTTCTATGCGTAACAAACTAACAAACGTATAATTCGTCCAAACTTTCATATTCGTCCAAAATTTCAACCGTAATTAAGTACAAATATCCAAATAAACATCTTTTGCATTCATAATTAATATTATTATGTTATTAAGTTTTTGACATAGCTTACTAACTCTGAAAGAATGACTGAAATTAACTCTTCTTTTTTAAAGGCAAGTAATCAAAACTACTATTGAAAAATATTAGTATTTAACTTTTATGTTTTTGAATCAATTATTTAATTATTCAATATTTTTATCACATTTGTACCGGTATCAACGTATTTGCGTGAAAGTTATTAATTTGTTTTATATAATATGCCATCACGATTTAAACAATACAAGCAGCTCTCTACTATATACAATTCGTTTAAGACGAAAATATATCTTTATATATCTTTTTATCCGTAAAATAAAAATAAAAAGGGATCATGAACACATCTATACAAATAAATAAAATTGAAGTGTCTGTTTGTAATGTCAAAATATCAGCTTTTTATTAAATGAATATTAAAGTATATACAGTACTTATAACAAAAACACAATTTTTAAAATTTTTGTCTGTCTGTCGGTCTGTCTGTCTGTCTGTCTGTTTGTTCCGGCTAATCTCCGAAACTGCTGGACCAATTTCGACGGGACTTTCACTGGCAGATAGCTGATGTTATAAGGAGTAATTTAGGCTACTTATATTTTAGAAAAAGCCGCCGTTCCGCGCAACATAATTAAAACCCTAAATTACACGCGGGCGAAGTAGCGGAGAACAGCTAGTTGAAAATAATTTTGGTGTGTGGTAATTTGTGAGTTAATATTTAGTAACGGGAACAACGAAGTGAAATCACATATTGACCAAAAACAAAAGAAATAAAATAACAACACAAAAAAAACTATACAGACTGATATCATATTATATTTAAAAACTTTACACACATACAAACTACTATAACTGCTTTATATATTTAATAGCCAAAAAAAAACAAATTAAAGGCAGTTGCAATTATTATAGGAATATATTAATATAAAAAAATATATTCTAGCACGAATCACTTGTACATAATTATCACGGAAAATGGGGCCAAAAATAAACCGCTATAAATAGAAAGAAGTAAATGATTTCTTCAATCAAGATGTGGTATTCTAAATTACTAATTATATAAGATACGTAATTTATTTTTAAAAAAAAAACTTCCATAATAATACACGTAAATACTCACTGGTAATCAAAGTAGAGTAAGTAATATAACATATAACAACTTGCTAAAAATAAATCCTGGCTAACTCGATTAATTAAACGAACAGTCGTCGCCACTGTCAGATGAAGTACTGTTAGCGATAACGAATACGCCATCCGGTGATACGATACGATATCGGAAAGCTGTTTTCGTACACTATTACATGATATCAATATTTATTTATCGGTCCATATTATCTAAAAATTAAGTTATGAAACGTGGATGTGCTGTAAGGGGTATATAAGCTGACAAAAGAATAGTAAGCGAAAATATGTCACTATGCATGCTACATAACAGTCATATTTTAATTTTTTTTACAGGATAAGGATGACAAGCCAGCACACAGTCCACCTGATGGTAAGTAGTTGCTGTAGCCCATAGACATCTAGAGCTCTACATGGATAGCCCTCTTTGCGAATCAAAATGCAGATGCGTTGACAGCCGTGAGGACTAATATGGATGTCTCGAAGATGGATGGTTGGAGAGAAGCCTCTTTTCCAGTAAAAAGGGTCTCCGGTTCTCCACATTCACGACACGAAACAAAGCAGCATTGAGCTGCTATTTTACGCTGGTATTCTGTGAGAGCGTGGTCCTTCCCTGGTCGAGCCGATCCATTCGTGCAACAACTATACAACGTTTTATAATAATTTTCAAAATAAGAAAGCAAACTAAGTTTGATTCTTCTTTTGAAGCTTCGATGAATTGTTCATATTAATTCCTGTCGCCAAGTTTCCCCATCGCAGATCGCTACAATATTTTCGATACCACATACACCATCATGCTTAGCGGCCCAAGGTGATTTTCCAAAGGTTTTATTCCTCACACGAGAAACTTCTAGGACTGGGTAGGTGGTTAGGGACTTTCAAAAAAGAGCATATTCCTGTCACAAAGGCTTGCAACTCACCTGCTATTCCTCTGGTGTTGCAGCTATCCATAGGCGGTAACAGTCACTTACTATCATGTGAACCTTATTCTCGTTTGCCTCTATTTCATTAAAAAGGGCATTTTGAATTTCTAATTTACCTCATGCCCGATAGTGACTATAAACGTCGTGAGGGATTCTGCAAGTCTGATGGCCAAATACACAAAAGCTGCTCAATTTTAAGATGCCGTTAAGTCTCGTGCTATCTCTATCACTTTAAGTCAAAGTGACTGCAACACCACTAGATTTACGGCATCTTACAATGGACCAGCGTTTGAGTATTTGGACATAAGAAATTTAAATTAAGAGAGTCAATAATGTACGCTGTGTTAAATATTTATATATATATCTTCGTAAAGATATTCGTTACTCTATAGCCAGCATATCGTCCACCACAATTGTTGATAGTGCAGCAGAACATCTTTTCATTGAAGTCACACTTTCTTCCTTCAAAGTGCTCTTAGGCGTCGTTTATAGTCCCTCTAGCTCTGTTAATTATTTTTCTGCCTTTGAAAAAACTTTGGAAGAATTGGTTCCGACATGTAAACATGTTATCATTATGGGTGACTTCAATACGTGTCTTCTCAAAAATGATGTCCGTTCAAAAAAATTGAAGTCCGTAGTTGACTCATGTAATCTTCACATCTTGCCTTCTAATCCTACCCATTTCTTCCCTAATAGTGCCCCTTCTCTTCTAGATTTAAAAATCGTTTCCTCTCCAGAATACATATACAAACACGGGCAGTATACTGCCGATGCTTTTTCTTACCACGATTTGCTGTTTTTGTCATATAAATTACGATCACCAAAAGTCAAGTCCCGTGTTCTTCTGCTGCGTAATTTTGCTAGAATGGACGTCGACCGTCTTAAAAATGATGCTGCCAGTATAAACTGGTCGTTAATTGATGAGACAACAGATGTTGACGAACAAGTGCGTCTTTTAAATGCCTTTATAATGCAACTTTATGACAAGCATGCACCTTTACGACCAATCAAACTTAAGTATCCGCCTGCTCCTTGGCTCACAAAAGAGATTAAAGATTTAATGACAAGAAGAAACCTAGCCAAAGCCAAATTTAAAAAGAACCCCTGTAATATAAATCATGAGAAATACAGGATACTTAGGAATCGCTGCAACACGATGTGTAGAGATGCGCAACGACGTCACATTCACAAGACAATTGAGGAATCTGATCCCAATAGGGTTTGGAAATTTCTTAAAAGTTTGGGAATTGGCAAAAAGCGAAATGACTCCCTTCCTCCTGATTTAAACTTTGAAATGCTTAATCAATACTTTTCCTCAAGTTCAAGTTACGTTAACAATTGTAAATCTAGGACACTAAATCACCTTCATTCTTTGCCAACTCCCGATTTCCCCGAATTCGTTTTATGTCAGGTTGCTGATTGTGACGTTAAAAAGAATATCACAGCTGTAACTTCTAATGCAATTGGTAATGATAATGTCAGCCGAAACATGATTCTCCCGCTCTTAGATCTATTAACTCCTATCATAACTAAAATTTTCAACAATTCTATAAATACAGGAACTTTTCCTACTCTATGGAAAGATGCTCAAATTATTCCACTACCCAAGAAATCAAATCCCAAGTCCTTCTGTGATTATCGTCCTATTTCCATATTACCTTTTCTTTCTAAGATTCTTGAGCGTCTTGTCCAACAGCAACTTAATCTATTTCTTAATCAAAATAACCTCTTAAATACATTCCAATCAGGCTTTCGTCCTGGCCATAGCACGGTCACTGCTTTGGTTAAAATCACAGACGACATTCGGGCAGGAATGGAGAATCGGCAAGTTACTATTCTTACTCTTCTTGATTTCAGCAACGCCTTCAACACAGTCGATTTTGATATACTTCTAGCTGTGCTCCGTTCTATTAACGTATCTCCAGCGGCAACTGACTGGTTTCGTAGTTACTTGTTTGGACGCCGTCAATGCATCCGTATTGAAGACACTTATTCCTCGTGGTGTTCTCTGGATGCAGGCGTACCACAAGGTGGCGTGTTGTCTCCTCTCCTTTTTTCAATTTTCATACGCTCTATCACTTCAGGAATAACTTCTCTCTACCATCTTTATGCAGACGATCTCCAAATATATTCTCAAACAAGTATCAATAATCTTCCATCTGCCGTGCTATCCACAAATCGTGATCTCGCTATTATTTCAGAATTTTGCACATCTTATGGAATTAAGGTTAACCCTAGTAAAACGCAGGTAATAGTGATAGGTAGCAACAAACTACTACAAAAAATTACTTGGCATACGCTGCCTTTCGTTTGTTTTGAAAATTCTGCTATTCCTTACAGTAAGGTTGTAAAAAACCTAGGGGTTCTAATTGACAGTACAATGTCTTGGGCACCACAAATTGAACAAATAAGTAAGAAAATGTTTGCAGCTTGTGGAAGTCTCAAAAGACTTCGAAATTTCTTACCCATTTCTACCAAAATTGCGTTAGCACATTCCATTTTGTTGCCTATTTTAGACTATGCTGATATATGCTACACTGATATTACCATGGAGCAATTAAACAAGCTTGAGCGTCTTCAAAATCTTTCCATTCGGTTCATATTTGGCTTACGCAAATATGACCATGTATCCCAATTTCGAAAACAACTCAAGTGGCTCCCAATTCACCTTCGCCGGAATGTTCATTTACTTTCTTTACTTTTTTGTGTTCTGTTTGATCCGAAATCTCCAAGGTACCTTAAGGAACAATTTCACTATCGATATGAATTTCATGATCGTAGTTTGCGTTCAGTGTATAGCTTGACTTTGAACACTCCTTACAGCGTAACTTCTTTCTATAATAAGTCATTTACTTCACAAGCAACCCGACTCTGGAATTCATTACCACTTAACATCCAACAAGCGCAATCTTTACAGACTTTTAAAAAACAACTGAAGGAGTATTATTTGAATTTCCCGTCATAATAATAAATTATATGCATTTCCTCTTTTTATAAATACTTGTTTTTTTTCTTTTCTTTTTGCTTAATTTTCTCTGCATATATATATGTGTATGTATGTGTGTTTATCTATATGTATGTATATATGTATATATTTATTTATTTATGTTTATTAATTTTATAATATTATATATTATATAATTCATATATTTATATAAATCGTGTTTAATTATAAGTTTTTGTCCTCAGTTTCATTTTATATTGCACGTTGCACCTATCCGTCAAAATATATTACATTGTTCCCTATTACGTTCGGTTTGTCAGGTAGAAATCGCTTAAAGCGATATGACCACCGTTTGTAGTTCTTAAGTTATTCCGTAATTGTAACACTTTGTATAAATGCAATAAAGAGTTATCTATCTATCTATATATTATAGGCTATTAATTTTCTTTTCTACGTACATTTTGGAATGAAGATATTTATCGGACGGTACGTGTTTGGCGCATGGGAGCTAGGCGACAAAAAGTGTAAGACTTTTTCGTCATGACCCCTTGTGTAGACGGCCTTGGCGGCGAAATAGGGAAGTGAGATGGAATAATATCCTACTTCCTCGCACTTTTTCTTATCTTGCCATGAAAGATATATTATTTTATTTCAAATGACGCTTCATTTTAATAGACGCTAGTAATTCATTTATTTTTATTTGTTAATCAATAATATAATACCTACGTTTATCAATAATAATATACTACGCAAGGAACTTCCTTCCAACCGAGTGTACCACGACACTCACGCATTTTTTCTTTAAAAATTGGGATTTAGCGTTATTGAATAACTTTTGCGCCATCAATCGGTCGCCATATTCGACTTCAATCAGGCAAGATGTTCCATCTGCAGGTGAAACATTTTACCCTTATGTTCCTAAAACCACTTTGCTACATGGTAAGACTTTTTTCTACCTAGGAATCCGTTTGGATAGGTACCGCCATCCTACCTGTTTCTGTCGCCAAATAGGACTATAGCTTTGTTGTTTCAAGGGTATAGAGAACCAGTACAATGGCAGGCTGTGGAGCATTCCACAATAAAAGTGACACCTTATTTTTACGCTTACTTTTTGGTGTTAGCCGTGGTAGCTCAGTGGCTAAGCGCTCGCTATAAAGTTCACAGTACGCGAGCAACCCGGTTTCAATCCCCGCCAGCACCAATGAAATTGTTAATTGCAATTTTAAGTGCTGCTTTACCACATGCTCTGCGGTGTAAGAAAACATCGTGAGAAAACCTGCATGTCGGAAAAATAAGAAAAAAATATTTCGAAGACTTGTGAAGTTCGTCAACACGCATTGGGGCACCGCGGCGGACATTTCTTTGCCTTAAAACCCTCTCAGAAATGAGAGGAGGCCTGTGCCCAGCAGTGGGACGTATATAAGGTGTAACTTTTTTTATAGAATAAGGATAACAAACGAGTACACATTCCACCTGATGGTAAGTGGTTGCTGTGACCTATAGACATCTACATTTATCCTCAATAAAGAATCAAAATGCAGATGCGTCGTTACCCGTGAGGACTAAGATGGAATGGCCTCTTTTCCAGTAAAAACGGTATCCTGTTCTCTATATCATCATACGAAACACAGCAGTGTCAAGCTGCCATTTTACGCTGGTATTTTGTGAAAGCGTGGTCCTTCCCAGGTCGAGCCGACTCATTCGTGCTACAACTATAATACTAATATAGCTGCAGCATGGCTCTACCACGTACAAAAAGTAAACTTTACTTTACTTTTTGGCGTTGGTTGCAGGTCCATGGGCTGCAGTAGTCCCTTATCACCAGGTGGACTCTATGTTCCATGCTTCGATTTGTACAAGATAATATATCCCAGGCTTTAAATTCTCCGACAAAATGAGATCAATATTGCAATGATCGATATTTGATTGATGAATAACTGGCAATCGAAAATATTTATAAATATTACTTTTCTGAAATTGGTCTATTCTAGCTATAGTTTTTTTTTTTTTAAGTAGCATTAAATTAACAAATGAGACTTCAAAGAAAGAAAACAACTGTGTTATTGTTTTGAGGACTAAGATTCCATAAAGTAACAGTGTAAATATCTACATACCCTACAAACTGGAATACAATAGTGTATGTAGGTACTGCTGCATGACGACAGAAATAGTCAGAAACAGAAATAGTCCCATCGACGAAGACGAAATCAGAAAAATGTCATACAACATGATACATATGTATTCCTGATACATAATATTAATATGGATGCATAATATTGTCATAATGTCGCAAGATGTAATGATTATGAGATTTTCATTAATATTAATATATACTTGACATTCAAACCAGACCTTAAAGCCAACAACTTGTTTTCCTATTTTCATTTACTCGTGTACGTAATATTGTGCAAACCTGAGCTTAGGTCGGTGTCCTTAATCTCTCGTGATTCGGGCCCGTAGGCGTCGGAAGCGCGTAGGCCTCAATCAATGTGGCATTTTCAAATTTCCTCCCACCTCTACAACATATTACTTACATCTTACTTTTTTTATAGAATAAGGGTGACAAACGAGTTCACAGTCCACCTCATAGTAGGTAGGTAGGTAAGTGGATGCTGTAGCCCATAGACATTTAATTTATCCTCGATTAAGAATCGAAATGCAGATGCGTTGTCACCCCTGAGGGAGGTGGGGTGACTTAGATGGAATGCTTCGTTTCTAGTCAAAAGGGTTTCTATTTCTTTATACTCAAAATACGAAACACAGTAAACTGAAGCTTCTATTTTACACTGGTATTATTCCGTGAGAGCGTGGTCGACTATTGGTCGAGTCAACCCATTCGTGCTACAACTAACTAATATAGCTGCAAACGTGGCTCTTCCGCGTAGAGGAGCTTTTCGCAGGTTCCTATCATTGCAACGCCATGGTAAGAAAAGAGAAAATCTAACACTTTCCGTTGAACCCCGTGAGCGACAAACGATTTTGGGCCTACGTACTTCGGAAACATTGAATAAGTAAGTCCTTTTTGAGAGTGCTCAAAGGCAAGACAGTACGGCTCAAAACCGTACCGAAGAAGACTATAGCGAAGAGAGCACCTTGAAGAAATATGAAGCATATTCCCAATGCTGTGATGAATCTTATAAACTTTATAGGTTGGCTTGCAGGAACTGAAATTTGCACATGATTTTTTCTCGGGAGCGAATGGGAGGGGTGCTTGAGAACGATGACGAAAGCTTGAAGATGAAGTTTGCGAAGTTTGCTAGTTTCTTGTTCACATCACGTCGGGGCTACCACTTTAACCATGAAAGGGAAAGCTCACGCCGGGCAAGATGTCTAGCCCGGAGAGCGGCTATTATTCGGTGTGGGTAGTAGAAAACAATCTTTCTTATCTTACATAGTATAAACAAAGTCGCGTTCCGCCGTCTGTACGGTTAGATCCTTTAAACTACGCAACGGTTTTCATCAATAGACACAAAAGTTTAAGAGAAAAGTTTATATGTAATACATATATATTATAAATTATATAATTTTTCTGTCCATGTGTATGTGACTCTGAACTGTTCCTAAACTGCTAGACTGATTTTGATGAATTTTTGTGTGTGAATTAAGTTGATCACGATAAGTGCGAAGCCGAGTTGGATCGCTAGTTTAAATATATCGGAGTGCTTCGGAAACTTATCGAAATTCATACATGAATCAGGTTTCGGTTCGTTTCGCTTGTGGCACTACGATAACGCCCCCAGAGGGTTTATTACTTTATTTAGTTATATTTCTATATATTTTATACATGGTAGAGCCATGCTGCAGCTATATTAGTAGTATAGTTGTAGCAGGTCGACCGGGGAAAGACCACACTCTCACAGAATACCAGCGTCAAATGGCAGTTTAACACTGCTGTGTTTCGTATGGTGAATGTGGAGACCCGGAGACCCTTTTTACTGGAAAAGAGGCATTCCATCTTAGTCCTCACGGGTGACAACGCATCTGCGTTTTGATTCGCAAGCGAGGATAGATGTAGATGTATATGGGCCACAGCAACCACTTACCATCAGGTGTACTGTGTGCTCGTTTGTGACCCTATCCTATAAAAAAAACATACTAGCGATGCGCCCCGGCTACGGCTGGGTAGAATCTATTAATGTGATGCTATTTAGATTTAAAATTAGCAAAGAACATTTATTTTATCAGTTCGGTTTTCAAAAAGAGTCTCAAAGTTTTGCGGGTAAAATATAGCTGAGATCACTCCTGGTATTGTTCTCTATCCGTTTTTGAAGTTACATTACAATAGATAAGCCCAGACCGACAGACAGATATTTTTAAATGGTAATTCATCTCATAATAGCAGGCAAACAACCCTCAGGTCAAAAAAGGCAGTTAAATTTCGACATCACTTCAACTGTATTTATTTCTATAAATATATAGCAGTTGTGTTTCGAACTACATTGCAAGTATTGAAGTAACAATTTAATGACTAGAAGTGGAATAGGTAAAAAAATAATTTTAACGCTTGCATATTCTGCAATAATTTATTTTATTTTATTTTGATATTTTAACATGCCAACACCGCTGTTACTTGAAATATAATGAATACTGGCAGCTAACAAACCATAATAAATACGATTATTAACAACTTGAAAAGGGCACAAAATAAATAATATTACTTTAGAATTAGGGGGTCGCCCACGACTAGCACTTTGACATTTACAACCTAAAAGCCGGGATTAACAAGTGGTCGCCATGGCAACACGAAAACATTCGAGATGTTTCCTTTTATCGAGTATTGGCAAACTAAAGCTTATTTAAGATTAGCAAAATCACTCATTTTCCTGTTATTGTACGTAGGCATGTAATTTCTTGTTTCATGTCTAAAGTGATTTGTTTAATTATAGACCTTTTTTATTTCAATTTTTTTTTATGTTATAAGAAGAAACTACTCAACTCATCCAACTTGAATATTGATATACTAAAATTTTTGCAAGAAATATTAATATAATTATGTGTTACGCACTTACATCATGTTTACAAAAATAAAATAAATTTACACTATATAAAAGTCCCATTGCTGGGCACAGGCCTCTTCCAATTTCTGAGAGGTTTATGGAGCAATTCTAAGGGCCGTGATAGCTCAGGGACTTAGCGCAACCAGGTTTCGGTTTCCTTTGGCATCAATGAAATTAATAATTACAATTTTAAGTGATCCGTGCTCGGCGATGAAAAAAAACGTGAGGAAACCTGTATGTCTGAGGAGTAAAATTATATCGAGCAGCGCTGTAGATTAATGCCCCATTACCATGTGCATAAATTACACATTAATAAAAAACAGAAATGCCGTGTGACATTATATGAAATCGACAAAACAATTCTGTAGCGGAAACTTAAATAGAACGAAATTACCTATACGCTGGTATATCTTCGCAAATCCTTACGTCACCGCCTATATGACCAGGTGTTTATTTTTAGCAAGAGCGAATTATTTATCTCATGTACCTACGTAACTTCACAACTATCCCGACCGGGGCGTCGACGTCACTGGAGCGCGTGCCGCGCCGCTAATTGTGGCATCACCAAAACGGTCTCCGTTTACCGGCGACCGGGAGACGTACGAAAGCGGAGCATGATTCAGAGCGGAGAAAGTGGCCGGCAGGCTGGCGAGCGCGCCGAGCCTCCGCGCCCACGCCGCGCGCGCGCCGCCCGCCGCACTACGCTCGTGCGACCCGCGTTTTTCGCGCGCCTCCCTTGCCGTCGCGACGCCGCGCCATTTTCTCGCGCACGTGGGCGACGTCGGCCGAACGAGGGCGCCCGGCCTGAACGCCATTAACGCGCCCGTCGTGAATGAACGCCGACCTCGAGCGGGTGGCTAGCGTCCATTGATAGGGCGTGCGACGAAGACCGCGCCGCTCGTCGCACGGGGGCGGCGTACCACACGCCCTCGCCGTTCCGCGCGCGCCTCAGTCGAGGATGTGGCGCTCTCCGCGCGACTCTCACTGCGTGCGAAACCTGTGTTCATTTATCAGTAGACGCTCGTGATAACTCGGAGCAAAGTCTTAGCTAACCTCCACCTAATGTTCTGTGATCGTGTCAATTCGAAGTCATTTATCTAGATTAGTGTGAACGGAAGTGGAGAGAGTGAGAGTCCGGCGCATGAGTCGGTGCGAAGCGTGTAGTGTAGGAGAGTGCGTGCGGCTGAGCCGTCTATGGTGGTGTGGAGTGTGAAGTGCGGGGATGCGATCGTGCGATGCTCTCGGTGATCGCGATGCGTCGGCCGGAGGACGAGGAGCTTGGCCGCGGCGATGGGGACGAGTTTGTGGACATCTCCCAGATGCAGTTGCTGGTGGAGGCGGGGCCCAGCGGGCTGCAGTACGGCGGGCCGCAACCGCCGCTCGCGCAACCGGCACCCTACGCGCAGCCGCACGCCAACACCGCCTCAGTCGACGATTTTTTAGCATTTTACTTTACACCGGCAACGCATGGTAAGCAACTATACGTATACCTACATGACATGTAATTTAATAACATCTAAATGTAATCTAATCGACATCTAAATGCTACCTCACGTCGACTGTGTTACACAAAAATGTAGTGGCTTGTTTTTGAGTGAAATATTTGTGGTAGATTACGATCTACGGCGCTATATGTTTTGTGTTTAAATTCAAAAAGTTCAAAAAAAAAACCATAAGGTACCTTGACTGAAGTCAATTTATCATAATCATGTACAACGAAATTTTATTATTGCTTAAATTTGTTTTTGTTATGCAGTTTTATTTATACTTATTCTAAAAAGTTAAGTAAAAATTCAACTTTGTTTAAAAGTTTGCACATTATGCAAGACATAATAGTAGTAATTATTTTTTTCGAGTATAGAATATTATCCAAATGTAAAGATGGTTAAGTGCCAAACACGAATCTTTACAAAAAAGTATAAAAGTTATTACAAATTTATTCATCCTAATTTACTTACACAACTAACAAATTTTCTAAAAGTTTAGTTGTACAAACCTTAAAAAAAATATATTTTTAAATAAAAGTGCTCTGTGATTTAATGGTAATAAAATATTTAATAGCGAAACTCTCAGCAATCTTTATCACGTACTAAAACAAACAGCATTAATTATTCAAATACAGACTCTAAAATGCAGTAATATAAAGTTGCTTGTTGCAGCACGTCATTCCTACGTTGCTTTTGTAACAAGTAACAACCTGCAAGGTCTCAAATTGTTTACAGCAAATAAACAAGCTATGCTTATACACTCTAAGGTTTAAAGGTAGACGCGAAGTACTTACAAATGTTTGAATTTTAAAAAGTACATCAAAACACGTCTGTTACCGTTATTTAATCGTGGTCTACTGCGCCAGACTACCTGTTGTTGATTAATTGATAATATCCTGGGAACACGTTCCTGCGAACGCACGCCTAAGGTTGCAAGATCAGAGGCATTGATTCTGTTGTCTACTATTAACAATCTGGTATCGCCTGCTGCATGCAAACGCAGCGCCGCAGTGAATTAAGCCAATAACTAAACAAGCGACGTTGGAACCGATTTGTTATGTCTGATCTTAGTTAACACGCATCGTTTTACTATTCGAAACGTGGTATTTATCTATGATTATGACAAAAGGCCTATTAGTATACAGAGCCTAATGTGGCATTGCTTCAAAATGTATCCCCGCTTACATAAAATAATTTGTTTTGAGACTGAATATTTTTAATTTGCGTGTGAACAAATCCATCACTCGCCTATTGGTGCATGAGTCGAAACAAGAAAACTATATCTGTATCTATATCTGTATCGAACCTTCTAATATCAAATGCCACAAACGGAATCATTAATCTCTACAGTATTTAGTTCCCAGCATTCTATCAATATACACATTAAAAAAAAATCCCAAATAATGATAACTTCACCATCCACGACAATTAACAACCTAATCACAATGTCAAGAAGACGTTGAAAAATACCTTAAAGATCTAGTCAACTCCGATAGGTGGTGGTAAAAACCATCTAGCTTGTACTATTAGTTAAGCCTGTCGCAAGAAACACATGGCGCCAATGAACATCAATATTAACAGTGCGATCGCTTATCCTTCCTATACACGTGGAAATTCTGGCAAATCCTACCTACTATGGGAAATATCACATGTCCTACAATATCACTGTTTCAGACTGTCAAGTAGGTGTAGGACGTTGAAGTTTATACGATGCAAAATAAGTAGTTTTCATAATTTAATATTAAAAATTTTGTACAGCCGACTTCAATATAAGTTATTAAGAATAACTCAAAAACTATTGTTCTGACCTTGATCAAATTCATATGGGACCACACGAGAACTATCAGCTTTCATATAAAAAAAGAATCATCGAAATAGTTTCACCCAGTACAAAGTTATGAGGTAACACACATAAAAAACATACAGTCGAATTGAGTACCGTCTCCTTTTTGGAAGTCGGCAGAAAATGGCTCGTATCATATCATTATTTGAAGGAATCAACACGATAACATTTTATTTATTTTATTGATGATAACTTGATTATCAGTATGCCAAGGAGACTAAAAGCAGTTCGAGGAGCTAGAGGGGGTAATACTAAGTACTGATAATCACCCACATTACAGCATTTCCTAAGCATTTATGAAAAAAGAAATTAAAATTAAAACTTTTGTACAGCCGACTTCAATATAAGTTATTTAAGATTAACTCAAAAACTATTGATCTGACCTTGATCAAATTAAATGGGACCACATGAAAAGTACCAGCTTTCAAATAAAAAAAAGGGTCAACAAAATCGATTCACCTAGAAAAAAGTGCTGAGGTAACCACCACCACACATAAAAAATACAGTCGAATTGAGAAGCTCCTCTTTTGTTTGAAGTTGGTTGAAAAAGTAGTTACTTTCCTAGTTTTTATTATGTTATTACAATTTTCTACTCCAAGTATATCTAACGTTATTAAGTTTTATCATTTTTGATTGTCTAGTTAGATTCTAGTTACATTTACAATACTCCCGTTAGCCAGGGCCAAAATCAGTTACGAGTTTTTCTGTCAAAAAATTATGTAAAACAGTGCGTCCTGTGCCTGATCTTTGTCCGGTGGCGTAGGATTATCGTACCATCGGACTATGAGGGTAAGGGTGCAGAGATCAGGGCACATGCACCTGTGCATGCGCATACACACGTGCACTGTAATCTGGACAGGATTATATTGCGCAGATTCTAGTCTCCGTTAAGTTATTATTATCATTAGTAGACTATAACCGCTTAAATGAGGTATTATTAAAGATAAAGGTAGGAGAAAAGAAGCTCTACCTAAAAGCTCTACTATATAGATAGAGCTTCTGCCTATGAGTTCACAGATTGGTTCACACCATAGAACTTATCTCTGCCTCCGAGCAACAGTGCACTCACTCCTTTGGGTTTAAAGGTAAGAAAGCTACTATACTAACAGGCGTGAGACATTGCATCCTAGCCCTAGGGTGTAATAAAGCATCTGTCGCGTTTTTTGTTTGAAGTTGGTTGCTAATGGCTTTAGGCTGCTGCGTTCACTTACCATCGTACGGACTGTTAGCATCTTTGTTAGCTTAATATTATAAAAAGTTTCTTGCGTACTATTAAGTACTATTAGAAATCTAGCTAAGTACAATATAAACGTTTTAAATGAGTTAAATAATTTAAAATTTTGTACAACCGACTTCAATAAAAATTATTAAGAATAACTTAAAAACTATTCGTCAGACCTTGATCAAATTTATATGGGACGACATGGAAAGCACCAGCTTTCAAATAAAAAAAGAACCATCAAAATCGGTTCACCCAGTAAGAACTTATGAGGTAACACACATAAAAAAACATACAGTCGAATTCTTTTTTCTTTCTTTTTTTAAAAAAGGTTACCTCCACACTAGGATTTTCTCCTGAATCGTGGGGGCAGTTTACATACATAAATTCCACAAGGACAAACATCCAGACCCGGAACAATTATTTGAAGGCGATACAAATACTTGTTCCGTGCGGGATTCGAACCCGCGGCCCTTTTTCCGCGACTCATTGCTAACCACTGCGCCACGGAGCCGAATTGAGTACCGGCTCCTTTTTTAAGTCGGTAGAAAAACGAGAAGTATCTTATATATATTCGACGCGTTTATTTTTATATATGCTCACCAATTTCTCAAAATCGGCCGAACCAATTAAAAAGGATTCTTTTTTCCTAGGTAAACTTTACTTCTGGGGTGGTCCCGTATCAAATTTTAAGAAAAAGTCCATTATTATATTAAGTCGACATTCTAGTTAGCTTGTTATATTACTTCAACCACACAAAAGGGCTTTCCAAAGTACAAGCTTAATATACTAACATTCTACTTTACGTGTGCTTGTCATTGAACTCCTCTTAATCGGCTGGACTAATGTTTGATATTATTTGTGTGGGTCCATGAATGGTTTAGATTTACAATTGGACCTGGTAGGTGGCGCTGTTACCGTGGTCCAGAAATCACTCGCGCGAAGGATATCTATACAAATAAATAAAATTGAAGTGTCTGTAATGTCAAAATAACAGTTTTTCACTAAATGCATATGAAAGTGTATACGGTACTTATAACAAAAATACAATTTTTAAAATTTTTACTGTCTGTCGGTCTGTCTGTCTGTTTATTCCGGCTAATCTCCAAAACGGCTGGATCGATTTTGACGGGACTTTCACTGGCAGATAGCTGATTTCATAAGGAGTAACTTAAGCTACTTTTATTTTAGAAAAAGAATTAGGGTTCTGCGCAAAAACATAAAAACCCTATTACGCCAGCGAAGTCGTGGGGAACAGCTAGTTTAGTAATAAATAAAATAAAAAAAAATCCACTTAATAGCTTTCGAAGTTGGGGCTTTATTTCTTCAATACCTACATTATGTCTAAAGCTGTTACGTGGTTTTTTTTAGTTTAAAAGACGGTTTGAGCTTTAATATAAATTTCAATTATTTAGGTTTTTTTTTTTGTAAACGTATCGGTAAGCAGTATTCGTAAGTCACTCTTAACCTTCACGTTT